ACAGATCAAATTGTCATTCTTGGCTGAAAGCAAAGTACTTCTAATTGGTTGAGTTGCTGGTGGCACAAGGCAGAAGAACACGGTCACGGTGACTCCAGGGCTGTCCTCTTCCAGGACATGGCTCAGAGTAGAAGCTGTGCTTCTCTATCACCAACAGCAGTGCACAACTTGATACAAACTTAATGTGTGTTTATTTGTTTTGGAATCGCATTAATAATGTCCAGGATTAACTTTATTGGGCCAAACTGTAGACCCTTGGTTAGAACTCTAATGTTATCGCAAGGACAGTCCTAAAATAGAGGCCTTAATCTTCTTCCTCTTGTGTATTGATTAATTTATCAAAATAATCTAATTCTCACCTCCGTGCAGTCTTGACAGGGTTAATTAGGAAAGAAAAAGTAGCTGGATAGAAACGTGGACAGATGGAAGAGAGATTCGTGGAAATTAAGCAATATTTAAATCTGGATAGGAGACGGGCGGGGAGGTATTTAAGCTAATCAATCTATAGGGATTATCAAGTCACTAATGATCCCAATCAAGATCTATGGGGGGGACATGGGAGGAATGAGACATAAAATCAGGTTGACAGCAAACGGCAGGCCCATCTCAGTCAAAGGGCCCGGAGGAGCGCAAAGGGGAGGAGACGCTGGCCATCCAAAAAGGGAGAGGCACTATTATAAATTCCAATTTAAGAACATGAAGATTGACATGGGAAAAGTCACAGTCATTCAAGGGGTCAGGAGGCCAGCGCCGTGCTTGTCATCTTGGGGAAGACATTTTGGAGATCAGCTCTTTGCATTCGAAAAAGAAAAGTCGGAGGCAGAAGTTTCTCCAGATTCTTGACTCCGTTCCTTCACACACACACACACACCCAACCCCCGTACTGGATGGCAATTAGACTTTATGGCTGCATTGTTGTGGGTTTTAGGGAAGGTGCCAGGCTAGCTGGCTGGCTGGCTTCCATAAAGATGGTGAGTCATCCCTACTTTAAATCCTCCTAATCAGACAGCTCAATGGAGAGAAAAACTCAGGCAACGAAAACAAGCATCGCTGGTGGAGAACGGGAGACCAAATCTCAGCGCCTGCTGGAAGATCAGAGCTGCCATGGAACCCCAGATGAATATTTAGTTTTGATCGGTTTCCATCCTGCTTTTTTTTTTCTCCCCTCTTGGAATTCAGTGGGTCATGTGTAGCACGCTGCCATTTTCTTCTCCTCACCACTTAAGGTGTGATGCCGGGAGAGAGAAACGGCCCAAGGTGAGCATTGTGATCTTCCATGGCTGGGGATGGATTTGAAGTTGGTACCGAGAGAGAATCTCTCTGGTAGCAAGAGAATATTTGGGGCTCAGGTCCTTGGTGTTCTCCAAGCTTGGCTGTTTTCTTGCAGATGTTTCATTACCCAACAAGGTAACACCATCAGTGCTAGAAGGGAGTAGAGTTGGTGGAGTGGAGGAGGAAGAGGGGAGGAGGAAGAAGAGAAGTGGCATCCTTGGTTCTCTCCGAGCTTGGCTATTTTCATGCAGATGTTTCATTACCCAACTAGGTAACCTCATCAGTGGCAAAAAGAAGTGGGGGTTGCAGAAAGGAGAGAAGGAGGAGGAGGAAGAAGAAGAGGAGGAGAACAGTGGGTCCTTGGTGCTCTCTGAGCTTGGCTGTTTTCTTGCAGATGTTTCATTACTCAACTAGGTAACGTCATCAGTGCTAGAAGGAAGTAGGGTTTGTGAGGAGGAGGGGAGGAGGAGGCTGAAATGTAAGATGTCCATTATCTGATGGCTCTATATGCAAAACAATTTGGTCAAAGGTGCCATTATCCATTAGACACATCCATTCTGGTCCTTAGTCTTCTGTGATTTTGGCTGTTTTCTTGCAGATGTTTCATCACCCAACTAGATAATGTCATCAGTGCTAGAAGGAAGTAGAGTTTGCAGAGAGGTAGAGGAGGAGGAGGAGGAGGAGGAGGAGGAGGAGGAGGACTATGGTTTTCTCTGAGCTTGGCTCTTTTCTTGCAGACATTTCACTACCCAACTAGGTAACATCATCAATGCTAGAAGGAAGTACAGTTTGCTCTCTGTTTATATTTGAAGCAATACGAGAACTGCAGGAGAACAAAAGCTAGATATCTGCCTGATCCCAGATGCTCTCCACACAGTGGTTCCACCTCTGCTTTCCCCAGAAATAACCCAGTGTTGAATTTCTTCAATTGTTGAGGCCAACTCTGAGAAAAGCTCAGAAGGAAATGAGCATAAGTGCATTGGATTTTCATAGGCAGTAATGAAGATTAATAGTCGTCAGATTTCCAAAACTCTGGCCTTCCACCTCCGGGATAACTGAATCCACTTCATCTCTGTAATTTGCTTTCTCCATATATTTGAAAGGGAGAATATGTTAATATCCTCCCTTTTAAATATACATATACTCTATTAATCTTCAAACAATTCTCCCTTTGTCTATTTCCACCTGTTGTTCCAGGGTTTTTTGTTTTGAATTGTAGTTCTTGTGTTGTGTCTTGAAGTTTAAAACCGACTTTTGAAATCCCCCAGATCCATGTATGTACTCTAACAACATGGTTAAGTTTATTAACCTGGCTGTCTATGGGCACACTGATTAGACTCACCTATTACAGGTAATCCTCCACTTATAACTATTCATTTAGTGGCCTTTTGAAGTTACAACGGCAGTGAAACAAGTGTGATGACCCATAGTCTCTCAAAATAACCCCAAACATATATTAAAGTCCAGTAAGGCCTTCAATTTAACTTCACTGTTTTATTAGGCACAGTTTAAAGTCACAAAAGTAAATAATGAGGCAAACAGAAAACCCAAACAAACAGCATTGACGAGAGTTCCGAAGCAAGCCAAGATAATTAATCATAAACTCCAGGAAGATAATTGAGGAGAGTCCATGGGAAGAACGCCAGCAAAGATAAACCTCTTTCAAAGTAAACACTAAACTTTGACTCCAGCAATTCTGATGGCGCACTTGCAAACTTATATACATAGCTCCCAGCTGCAAGCCACAAGGAGGATCATGGTAATCTCCTCTCGAGTAGACCTCACTTTTCCCTGATCCTCTCCTCCCTGCGTGACCTAGGATGGCCATGGATCCTCCTCTGATTGCTCAGCCGGCCTCTGCCCTTCCCCAGCCTCCTCCACCACCTCTGGAGCCACACTCCCACTCCCTGTTGGCTGTTCCTCCTCTTCCTCAAAGTCAGTCTCCACCAGGGGCATGACAACAAGTGACTTTTCACACTTATGACCATTGTAGCATCCCCATGGTCACGTGATGAAAATTCGGATGCTTGGCCACTGACTCATAGTTATGATGGTTGTGTGAATGATCCAAGGCGTGTCACAAAGGCAACACAGTCAGACAATCAGTAGGAGTCCCTTTATTAGCTCCAAGTTTGCCCCCCCAGTGTCCTGGTTACCTTCTGAATGGAGAAAAACTCTCCAAGGAACATCCTTGGGCTGCAGAGATTCAAGTCCAAAACATGATCAACAAAAACTATAACTTTAAGACCAATCAAGGCAAGATGAGGTAATTAGTACAGCAGGGCAGGAGCAAAAATTCCAGACATGAAGGAACAGTAGTAATTCAACATAGTTGGGAGGATGCCAGGAATGCAGATAACCAAAGTCAACACAAGATAAACTCACGTTTGTTCCCAGCGAATGCTGCACTCAGCATGCATCTCTTTTAAACTCTCTTCCTTGTGGCTGATGAAGGGAATCAGGGCCCTTTCCTCCCTCATAAGCCATGCAGCCCGTGTTGCTCCCTTCTCCATTCCTCCCTGCGTGCCCTAGGATGAAGAGGGGGTGGGCCTGGGCCTTCCTCTGAACTCCTTCTCCCTTGTTCTACCTCTCTCCTGCTCTGCCCAGCCGGACTTTTCTCTTCCCCAGCTTCCTCCAAATCCAACGGAGCCACACTCCCGCTCCCTGTCAGCTGTTTGTCTTCCTCCTCGGATTCAGACTCTGACAGGTGCATGACAGGTTGCAGTGACCTGGGAGGGTCATGTAACCCTCTTTTGCGACCTTCTGATAAGCGAAGTCGATGGGGAAACCAGATTCCCTCAACGACTGTGTTATTAACTTCACAACCGCAGTGGTTCACTTAACAACTGTGGCAAGACATGTCATAAAATGGGGTGAAATCCATTACCGTCTTGCTTAGCAACAGAAATATTGGCCTCCATTCTCATCATAAGTCGAGAGCCACCAGGACAGCAGATTCTGATGCTAAACTGCCAGATAACATTTAGAAAAAGATTTAACGAAACCGATTTAATCAAATTGATAATACTTCTGTGAGTCAACCCTGGATATGTTTGCATTTCTGGAACATTTGCAATGGACGCTATCCAGGGCAGGAATAATTGAAAAAAATTTGTGCATGTACAGTAATGCATAAACTTACACACACACACAAAAAAAAAACCCAACCCCCAAACCCATCTATATCAAGGCAACTACGTTTTGGAAGGGGGAATTGATTTTTTCAATTTTAAATTGCAGTTTATTCTGTGGTTATTGACATAGTTAATATGTTATAAGTAAGCCAATCCTTTTCTCTGTGTTTTTTTTTTAAGTCATAAAGCACTTAGTGTAATCTAATACAATTTAGGGAATAAATGGCAATGTTTTTCCAACGGCGTAAGAATGATAAATTGATTTAGCAGCTTAGTATTTGTTTTATAGTAAGGGAAGGGCTTTGGATTCTGAAAGAGAAGGAAATGTATTTTCCAAAAGAAAGAAAATTTCCTATAGGAGAGTTGGTGGCAAGGGTGCCAATGGGAATCCATATTTGAAAGTAGATCCTTTTTCACAGCTTTGATGGATGGTGAAGATCGTCAACTACAGGCACTCCCCAACTTACAACAGTTCATTTAGTGACCATTCAAAATTACATCGCTGGAAAAAGTGACCTATGACCGTTTTTTTCACACTGAAGACTATAGCGTCAACTCGTAAAGCATTCCTGGACTGCTCCTGAGCTCCCCTAGTAGGCAGGAGTGGGGAGGAGCTCAGTTGCTATGACCACAAGCACATTCCACGCATTTCTTCCCCCAGATTGTATCCCAGGTTACCAGAGCAACCCGGAGAGGCGTGTTTTCTACAGCCCACGAAAGTGCTCCAGTTGGAGAATGTGATTTATGACACACCCTGGGAGAAAGGGGGAACAAGGTCGTAGGTGGGGCAGTAAATTACGTAGGGCAGAGCCGACTGCACTTGAGAAAAGTGCCGAAGTGTTACTCCTAATAAATAATTGGATTTATTTTGATACATGCCTTGAGGGTCATGAATTAATTAGGGCGTCCATTGGAACTCTGATACATTGCAGAGTCCCCATGGCTACATGATGAAAATTTGAATGATGGGCAACTGGTTCATATTTATGACTGTTACAGGGGTCCAGGGTCATGTGATCCCCTTTTCGATTCTAACATTTTTATTTGGTTATGTTATAAAATATTTCTGATAAGCAAAATCAATGAGGAAGACAGATTCAATCAACCACCCTAACATACTAACTTATCAGCCACAGTGATTCACTTAACAGCTGTGGCAGGAACAGTCGTAAAATGGGATGAAATTCACTTTAACAACTGTCTCATTTTGCAACAGAAATTTTGAGCTCCGTTGTGGAACTACCTATACTGACAATATTGTATATGGTCCTCTGTCCAGATTAGTGTTTCTCATTCGTGGCAACTTTAAGGTGGGTGGATTTCAACTCCTGGAATTCCCTAGCCAGCATCGCTGGCTGGAGAATTCTGGGAGTTGAATATACATATATATTCAAATTCAACTCCCAGATTTCTCCAGCCAGCAATGCTATCTATCTATCTATCTATCTATCTATCTATCTATCTATCTATCTATTCATTCATATCTATCTAATCTATCTATCTACACACACACACACACATATATTTTACCTTCCAGAAATCTCCAGCCAGCAATCCTGGCTAGGGAATTCTGGGAGTTCAAATCCACATATTAATACACACACACACACACACACACACACACACACACACACACGGAGGAAGGAGGGTTCATTGATTCTCTTTGGAATTCTTTTCTCCCTTAACTGAGATTAAGGAACATTCATTTTTATTGGATGGGCAAACAGAAAATTTGCAGGGAAAAGGAACAGGAATAGTGTGCCATTCCAGAGTCGAGACATCATTTAATCTTCTTTGCTTCTCAAAATCTGCTGTGGGCAATTAAAAAAACCAACACAAAAATTAGAGAGAATGTTTGAGGACGCCAGGGGTTTTTTGAGAGCATTATGACAGCAGCATCTGAATTCTCTCTTCCACTCTCCCATTTTGGGATCTGCCCCCTCATCAGATCATAAAATCCCTCATAAACGAGCACTTAAAGAATGATTAGAAGGATATTAATCAGCAGCAGAACTCTCTCCATCCAATAAAGCTCTTGACGTAAATTGGTAAAGGGAATTGCACATGCAGCCAGGAAGACAGCGAGAAAGATTTTTGATCTCGGATGAAATCAAGATGTGCCATATGATCTTGCATCTTCCTTCTCTCCAAGGAAGAGGGAGCGTTTCTACGGTCTCTTGCTTAGATAAGTGAAGCTGGGTTAATAAAACCGTAGAAAAGATAAGGAAGATAATTCCAGCTTAACTTCCATGGACCACCTCCTGTATTTAAGGGAGGGGATGTGCATAACTGTACCAATGTGCCTGTTGTCCCTTCGCTGTGACCTGTTGGCTGCCAGCCCCTCCAGCAGCTAAATCAGAGGAGGAGGCATGGTAGGCAGGGTCAGCAACAGGACAATCTGAGAGCTCCTAGGAGGAAGAGGGGATGGAACTGGGGTGGGGGAGAGAGAGTGGGGGGGGCAGGCAGAGCCTGGGCCATCCATCAGCCCTCAGATGCAGAGTCAACAACCTCCAGGTCTGGTGTGAGTGGCTGAGGAGGAAGAGGAGTAACAGCCAGGCCCGGTGCCTGACGCGTGGATGTGCAGAAGGCAGAGGAGAGGAGAGCGGTGGAAATCTATGGGCCGGTCCTTGGGACAGAAGAACCACTGCTGCTAGTGAAGCCCCACCCTAGCTCTAGGGATAAAAGGCAAGGGGGCAGAGATGAATAGATGTGGCAGACAACTATTCACCCCCCGGCGGGGCAGATTTGTTAGCCTGCAGTGAGAGAGAAACTTTTAGCCAGTGCTACCAGCGCTCCTAATAAAGGAATCTTCAGAGGGTTTGTCGTGTTTGGGAAGCTGGATCAGAACACCCTGTCACGTTTAAAAAACATTTTTTTCATTTTTTTCGTTCGAATTTGTAATTTTTGTTTGACGAATAAATAAAAAAAATAGAATAAATTAATAAGAGAGACTGCTGCAGCCAGCATATGAAGCTGATGAATTGAAAAGAGGGCTATCTGTAGTGTAAGTAATCCAAGAAAAGCAAATTGCGCCTGTGTTTTTTAAGATATGTTCTTGAGATTTAAGAAGCGGATTACTAAAATCAATGGCCGCCTCGGTTTGATAACAACAATCGTGTCCTTTCAAGGAACAACAGAATCACAGAATTGGAAGGGACCTTGGAGGTCATCAACTCCAACCCCCAGCTCAAGCAAATGCTGGTCCAATTTCTTCTTTAAAAGCTTCAGGGTTGGAGCACCCACCTACGAGGAAAGTTCTTATATTCAACATCTCTGTTCTGGGATGTTACAAGTGACCTAAAAGGTTTTTTTGTCAGGATTCCAAGTAATAGATCCATTGCAAGCAAAACTCCGAGGCAGGTATATTCCTCAAGGAATAGATTTATTGGAAATACAATATTTGCACAGATCTGGTGAAAACTGACTCTGAAGGGTCCTTTGGTTTTCACCTAATTAACTGTCCCCCCCCCCCCAATCCCAAACACTCCTCCTTCCTCCAGCCAGGTGTGAGAACATCCTTGGTTCCCAAGAGAAAGTATTTTGTTTTGGCTACACAATTCCCGCTATCTCAATTCTTCCTTCCCAGTGGTGGGCTGCAACCGTTTAACAACCGGTTCTGTCAGCGCGAGCTTCGCACATGCAGTGTTTAAAAAACACCAGTTTGAACCTCAACAGCTAACCTTCCAGGGCAGCCCCAGTAAGTATAACAGCTGAGGCGTGGAAATCCACTGTGCCACGCGAATCAGCTGAGCTGAGAAAGACGGAAATATAGGACAGGATGGGGTGGGTGGGAACTACTGGCTCTCTACAACCGGTCCAAACCACCAGCAGCCCACCACTGCCCCCTCCCTATCCCTCAGCTCCAGTGTGGCAACACTGTGTTGTAGTTTACCAGCAGCCTGTGCAGATGGCAGCAGAATTGGACAATGGAGAAGGGGACTAGTCGAGGAGTCTGGGGATGACTTAGATGAGGGTCCTGCATATGATGCCAAGATGGGGCCAGGACCATCTGGGGTGCTGCCTTTGGAGCCTTTGGAGTCTGGTAGCAGTGAGGAAGAGGACCAGGGGAGCCTGTTCCCAGTGTGGGTGTGCACAGAGCTGCTAGAAGGTGAAAGCAGCTGAAACAAAAGAGGTGACTCGAGAGTAAGGCTGGGAGGTGATTGCCCTCCCGTAAGGGATAAAAGTCAGGCTAAGATGACAAAACCTTTGCAGGAAGCAATGTTGTTTGTTAATTTCAGACTTATTCTTGAAACTCTTTGTACTTCGGTTGGGTTTTTGTTTTTTTTCGAGTTCATTGGACACTTCTGTTATTGGCAGCACTTCTCAGGAAAGAAAGGTGGGTGCTTATCTCGGGGGACTGTTTGAGATTCATTACTGTCTGGGAATGAAAATAATTCCCAGCATTGCAATAAAGCAAGACTTGTTTTTAAAATAAGCACGTGTGTAATTACAGTCTCGGAAGCCTTGGTCAGAACACACTGAAGCTCCAAGATGGCTTCGGCCAGGCCAGCTTCAGGGTTGACATCGTCATCCTGGTTTTTCCAACCACTCCATGGATGCTGTATCTTAATTCTCCCCCGTGGTATTAAGTAGTCAGGAGGACTTAGGTAATCCTCAAACTAGTAGATGAATGCTCAAAGACAATCTCCTCAAAGACAAGCCAGCCTCTGGATTCCCTATTTCCTTCCTCTCCAGACCTTGGAAAGGAGATAGCAGAGATGGTAAGCAGGCTGAGAAAGAAACTCTTGAGGAACGCTAAACATATACAGCCAACAGATGGAAGGGGAGTAGCTGATCTAATAAATCACTGCTGGATCCAGGCTGCAATAAAAACCAAGAAGATATTCAAAGCGTTAAAAGAAACCCCATTTAGTGAACTCACTAAATGACAGAGGTTGGAGCTCCCTATCACAATTTCAACCCTGAGTTACAAATATTCTTCTTTGTTGATTCCTGTCACTATTTCCAAAAATTCTATACTTTACTCCTAATTGTTTGTATTTTCTCATTATGATCATGATTTATCACTTGTTTCTTGTATGCACACTGGGAGTTTATGCATCGGAGACAAATTCCTTGTGTGTCTAATCACACTTGGCCAATAAAGAATTCTATTCT